ATTAAGAATTACCAACGATGGCAATGGAAAAGTTGGAAACAAAGAGGAAGTCCCAGCAGTCGAAAAATATGGTCTTGATGTTAGAAAGGGAGCTGAGGGTGATAGCAACAAAGCCTTATAGAATCCTGCAAGACCAGGGACGTCTTCATGCCAAATATGTACTTTTTCCACATGCACCGCGCCAGATAGAATACCAAGGACATAAAGAGGTGATGGAGAGATTCAGTATCAGCGTAAAGACAAGGGTAGAGGGAACCGAAACAAACCAGGGGTTTGGTCATATGCAGGTTCAGATTGAGGCCGAAGAAAATAAAATTTGAGTCCACAAGACCCAAGTACAACCTGGAGTACATCCCACTTGAACCTCAAGAACGGATTTGATGCACTGATCACTAACGACCAAAGACCAGATGAGTTTTAAAACATCCAGAACATCGTATATAAAGAAAGCAACAGGGGGTCGTTGAAAAGACAGGAATAGAAGAAAAGACCAACATGGACGTCAGAAGAGACTCAGAAACTTCCTCTGGAAGATGGAGTAGCTGAAGCAAATGGAACAAATAATGAAGTGGAAGAGTTGAACAGAAAAAAAATTTTAATCATTTTATTAGGGGCTCATACAACTCTTATCACAATCCATTCACACATCAATTGTGTGAATTTGTGCATTCATTGCCCTCATCATTCTCAAAACATTTTCTCTCCACTTAATCCCCCGGCATTAGGTCCTCATTTTTCCCTTCCCTCCCCGCTCCCCCCTCCCTCATGAGCCCTTGATAGTTTACAAATTGGTATTTTGTCATATCTTTCCCTGTCCGACGTCTCCCTTCACCCACTTTTCTGTTGTCCGTCCCCCAGGGAGGAGGTCACATATAGTTCCTTGTAATTAGTTCCCTCTTTCCTACCCACTCTCCCTCTACCCTTCCTGTTTTGCCACTCACACCACTGGTCCTGTAGGGCTCATCTGCCCTGGATTCCCTGGATTTTCAGTTCCTATCTAACAGAAAAATTTTAAGGGCAGTTTGAGAAGATAAAAGAAGGTATTATAATGAAATGTGCAAAGTATGGGAGTTTAAACATTCCAAAGTGAAAGGCACACTCAGCCTACCTCAAACAGAACGAATTCAAGCTTCCCATTGGAATATCGAAAGAGTGTATGGGCAAAACAAGGTGGAGGTTCTCCGGGAAACAATGGTTTCTTCTGTTATATATGGGGTGGGTTCTGTTAACTATGAGTTGGGACTCAACAACCCCTAAAAACAACAACTAGCATGGGAAAATACCGAGTAACACAGGAACTATAAAAAGAAGATGGAAGCAGTACACAGAGTGACTGTACCAAAAAGAATTGGTTGCTATTCAGCTATTTCAAGAGGTAGTACATGATTAAGAACCAAAGGTGCTTAAGGAGGAAGTCCAAGCTTTACTGAAGACATTTGCAAAAAATTAGGCTCCAGGAATTGGAAAATTAATTGAAATGTTCTCAAACTTGATGCAGCACTGGAAGCATGCATTAGTTTGTTCCAAGAAGTTTGGAAGATTGACCAACGAAAAGAAATCCAGATTTTGTGCCCAATTTCAAAGAAAGGTGATTCAACAGAGTAAGTAAATGGTCAAATCATTGGAATAGAACAAAGAGGTTAAAATCAAGGTTTAAAATTAGGAAAGGTATGAATCAGCTTTGTATCCTTTCATTGGATGTACTCAATCTGTATGCTGAGCAAATCATTTCAGAAACTGGCCTGTGTTTAAAAACATGCAGCACTAGGATTGGAGAGAGGTCCATTCGCAATCTGCAGTATGCAGATGATACCGCTTTTCTGTTCAAAGCCAAGAGGACTTAACCCTTTCTGGTGAAGGTCAAAGGCTACACACACACATCAGCATGGATGACAGCTCAGTGTAAACAAAACAATTCTCCATAAGTGGACCAGCAGACAACACATGATAAACGGTTAGAAGATTGAGGTTGCCAAGGATTCCATTTTCTGGTGTCCATAATCATCTAAGCGGTTAAGAAATAAAATGATGCATTGCACTGGGGACACCTGTGCACAAGGCCTCTTTGAAGAGCTAAAAGCAAAGATACCACTTTAAAAGCTAAGGTGCACCTGACCCAGGCTACGGTATTTTCAGTCACCTCATATGCATGTGTAAGCTGGGCAATGAATAAGGGAGATTTCAGAATAATTGATATATTTGAATAATTGTGTTGGCAGAATTTTCATAGTACCGTTGACTACCTGAATAAAAACCAAGTCTGTCACAGAAAAAGTTTAGCCAGAACGTTGGTGGTGGCGTTCTTGTTCTTAGGGACCAACAAGTAGGTTCCGACCCATCGTGACCCTATGCACAACAGAAGGAAACACAGCTTCACAGTTGTTCCTGTGCCTGAGCCCATTGTTGCAGACAGATGGTGTGTCGGTCCATCTCTTTGAGGGGCGTAAAGAGACAACTCCGGAGTCTCTTCTCTAAGCTCAGATGTCTGGGAAGAGGGGGTTTGGAGGTATTCAGAATTTAGAAGCATCCTCTCTCTCACTGTCCCTCTGCTTTACCAAGCCTGGTCCTTTTCCAGAGACTAGTCTCTCCTGATAATAAGGACGTGAGACGAAGTCAGAATGCGCCTTAGAAAGGGGGATTGGGAGGCTTCATCGCATGATTTAGATAGGTAACGGTGCCCCTTGGAGAAGGAGATCCTGCTTCGTAGACAGCAAGCAAAGCAGAGGAAGGCCTTGACAGAGTCGACTGACCTAGGGCTGCAACAATGGACGCACGCGCACGATCCTTGTGAGGATGGCACTGGCCTGCTCCAGGGTTCTGTTCTGTTGTGCATACATACGTCCATACGGCTGCTGTGAGTTGGAGCTGACCCAATGGCACCTAACAACAACAACAACAAAAGGAATGACAAGCAATGTGACCACTCTTTGAGAGAGATGAAAATATTTGTGCAACACATTGTTCAAAAGTGAATGTTTCTGGTCACTGGCATTTTCTATAGTGATAATATTCATGTGCATGATATGCTGGGTTTTTGTTTCATTTTTTTCACCAGGTTGAATTAAGAGAATAATATGCTGGGGGGGGCGGGTGGAATGATATGCTTTGTTTCTCCCTAAAATTTGGGGCATCATATTATTTTATGTTCATCTCATATCTAATATCCTGTGTGAAACATTGCTCATAAACATTGTGAAACTAAAAACTGATGGAAAAGACTCACTTGTGGTCATCTAGCAAAGTAAAAGTTAAGGAAAGAAAGAATATAAGCGAAAATAATGAAATTAATCACCTAATGTAAATCTGGCTTTAAAAAAAAATTAAAGGCCAAAATAACTAATGATCTACAAACTCCAGGTGTTTTTTTTTTCCTTTATTGCTTAAGGTGCATTAACTGCTTGTTTTATTGTAAAATCAATGTGTAATTATTATGGGAAAATAAAAAATAGAAGTAAACAAAAAGAAAAACATAAAGAACATTCTCATTTCTATCTGCCCAGAGGCAGCTGCCATCAACTCCCTGGTATACATCTTCTCCATCCCTTTTCTCTGCACACGCATAATTATTGTTGTTGTTGTTGTTGTTCAAAGCAAGATTTTACCCTACCTTCAGCTCTGTAGCCCACTCTTTTGCCTAATATTACAATGTGAACATATTTCCATTTCAATAGATACACTTTTGAAACATTTTAAAGCCTGCACTGTATTCCATTGTGTAAGTATATTATAATAAATTCAGCTACTCCCATATGTTTAGCACCTGGATCACTTACAATTAGCTTTGCTATTATAAAAAACACGGAGAAGGCATAATTGATGCAAATGAATTAGAAATTAGGAAGTAAAGGGTAGAAAACAAAATAGGCAAAAGTACTTAAGGATCCAAAAGTCTTTACAAAATAACTCCCAAGGTACCAAAAATTATTAAAACCTGGTGGGAGGTGCTCGCATTTGTTCACCTTGTTATTTTACCCATTGCCATTGTACTAGAACAAGTTACTTAACCAAACTATTTTCACCCTAGTTTATGTTGCTGCCTCATGAGCATTCAGGCGAATGATACACACAGCGAGCATCTAGAGCAGGCGTCCTCAAACTACGGCCCGGGCCACATGCGACCCGCCAAGGACTTTTATCCGGCCCGCCGGGTGTTTTTGCCCCATTTGTTTTTTGTACTTCAAAATAAGATATGTGCAGTGTGCATAGGAATTTGTTCATAGTTTTTTTTAAACTATAGTCCGGCCCTCCAATGGATCCGAAGGACTGTGAACTGGCCCCCTGTTTTAAAAGTAGGCTTTTCCTTAGCTGTTAAATCCTTTTCTCCCTTCTCATTCCTTAGGAAAGAAGGAGGCCATCACTGGTTTGGGGACTATTCTTTTAAAAAGAGTGGATTCACTGGGATTCTTAGCTCTCATGGTTCCATCACCGCTGGTGTCCACTGGTGCCCAGTGGGGCACAACTAGGCCCGACGTCCTCTTTTTTTTTTTTTTTTTAAGATGTCCTCTTAAAGGGAAGCTTGGGCCATTCTGCAGTTCATTCTTCTACAGCAGCAACAAAAGACGTTTCGGTGGGTAGTGCACCTGCTGAGGAAGAGCTCAGCCACTAACTGAATCCATCCAGAGGTGCCTCCAAAGAGGTGGCAGTCAGCTTCCCAGAAGACACCGTCCTGAGACGTCTCGGGTGTGCAGTTCTAATCTATGACTCCTGGCGCTGCCATGAGTTGGAATTGGCACAAAGGCAACTAGTTCCTGGTAGGGTGTTGGGTCCCACTCCAGGTTCTAGGGAGACAAGAGGAAATACCGTGGGCTTGCCTTCTAGGAGCCCAGAGTCTTGGGGAGGAAAGCTAAGAACACAGAACAATCCATTATGGTGAGAGGCTTGTGGGCACAGGAGGCGGCTTCCTGTGCCAGACTGGGGCAGGGAGCTTCTGTCCGTGTGGGCCAATGATTAACTGTGGCCTCATTAACTCATCACAGCTGTTCCCCTGTGTATCCCTGCAGGTCATCAATGCCATCGAGCAGGACTACCGGCTGCCCCCACCCATGGACTGTCCAGCTGCTCTCCATCAGCTCATGCTAGACTGTTGGCAGAAAGACCGCAATAGCCGCCCCCGCTTTGCGGAGATTGTCAACACCCTGGACAAGATGATCCGGAACCCGGCAAGTCTCAAGACTGTGGCAACCATCACCGCCGTGTGAGTCTAGTGGAACGTGGTGATGCCTGCGCGGTGGGTGATCTCAGAAGCAGGGGGAGAGCAGTTGCCAAGAATGCCAGCTTCGGGTGGTTGAGAGCAAGCTTAGGGTGGTCAAGGATGTCCACTAGTGGAAGAAGTCCTAAGCACCTGCCCTTTGTCTTCATCTCCCATCTCTCTACAATATCTCCTGCCTCCAAGGCTGTGGACAGACAGTAAGAGATCTGGCTGGGTCTGTCCTCTCCACTGACTTCCACTGGTCTGGGCACAAGGCTCTGGAGTAGACAAGTCATGACTGACCTGACTAGTAGGACACACCACTTCCGGGTGGTCGTGTCTCCAGAATCTACCCTGTTAACTATCCTAGTCCATGAGGCAGCGGGTGCTGCAGACTTGGAAGTTTGGTGAGTGCAATCGCAAGTAAGGACCCTGATTGCTGAAGGACAAAGAAATGCTAGTGTTTGGATTTGTTATGAGCAAATGCACCGAACCCCCGCCCGCTCCTGCCTGGCCCTGTGTTACTCTGCTATGTTTGCATTGTTAACTCATTTATTAATTCATTCTTGAAGCCAGACTGCATTGGGTGCTGGGCAGTGTGTCCTTCTGTTGTACACAGGGTCACTATGAGTCGGGACCATCTGGGCACCTGACAGTATCTTGGCAACTAACCACACGTGCCACTAGTAGTGTGCTTGCCGCTCGTCGTACAGAAAGAGCAAATAGAGGTGGTCCTTGTCCTCCTGCCTCTTAGAGTCATTGAGGAGAAGCAAACATTAATCAGATGACCTTACAAAGGAATGTCAAATTGATAGCCCTAATAAAACACTGTGGTGGAAAGGTGCAGGAGACATGGAGAGCATGCATGGTAGCCTAGCGTACGGAAAGGCATCCCTGCTGATTGACATTGCAGCTGCCAGCTGCCGGGAGAAGATGTGCTAACCGGGGTATAAAGGGAGATGGGAGGAGAGGGCCACAGGCTCCAAGCCAAGGCTCTAGCATATGCACGGATTGAGGCTGGGAAGGACGGGACCAGTGTAGCCAGAGGCAGCTGGTATGGACAATGCCAGGGCCAGACGAGGTCTTTTAGGTTCCTGTTGAGAACCTCAGACTTGACTCCACAGAGCGATGAAAACAGAGAACAGAGCCCGGGTTTCACAGGTGCCAGGTGGCATTGGAGCCTATTGACATGATCCCGACTGGACCTCTAAAAGGGGCTGGCCACAGTGTGGAGCTTCCGTGGCAGGGAAGGGGTATGCCTAAAGATGGACTGCCAGCGAATATTGCCACAGTTCCTGATAAGGAAGAGCGTGTGTCAGATGAGGGAAATGTCTATGGAAAGAAACGGACGAGTGGGAGAGTTGAGCGGTGAAATCACTAGGACTTGGAAACAGGTGCGACAGACAAGTCAGGGAAATGTGTCAAGAGCGCTTGTTGGGACCCTGGGTGCCTGGTGGTCGTGACCGTATCCAGACCCGGGGATTGGGCACTGGCCTTTGAAGGCCACTCCAATGTATAAGAGAAGCAGAGGGCAGGGCTGGCCCAGGGCGCCCCCACAATCCTCATCCAGTCAGAGGTGCTGCCGGCTGTGAGTTCCGCCACACGCTCAGAACGTGGCCCTGCCCACGATCCTGTGCAGCTGGGGGCTCAGCTGCTTGTCTTTGTCTCCCCAGGCCTTCCCAGCCCCTGCTAGACCGCTCCATCCCAGACTTCACGGCCTTCACCACCGTGGATGACTGGCTCAGTGCCATCAAGATGGTCCAGTACAGGGACAGCTTCCTCGCCGCCGGCTTCACCTCCCTCCAGCTGGTCACCCAGATGACATCAGAGTAAGTGATGAGAACCCACCTGTCCAGCCTGTGGGTGGGTTTGGGGCTCCTTGCCTATTAGTTGAGTGGTGTGTGAGTCCGATTTCTATAGAGACTCCATGGGAGTCACTAGATGGAGCAGACAATGAAGTGCTAAACTCCTAATCAAAACGTTGGTGGTTCAGCTTTACCCAGAGGTCCCACGGAAGAAAGCCCTGGCAAAACGCTCTGAAAGGTCACAGCCAGTGAAAGTCCCGCGGAGCAGTTCTATCCTGCGCACACGCACACGGGGGTCTCTAGGAATCAGAATCATCTCCATGACAACCAACAGCAGCATAGCGGAGGAGCCTCCTCCCTGGGGCTCCTCCTCCACTGAAGAGAACCAGGCTGGAGCGCAGGGACAATGGAGGAGGACTCTGGATGTGGGGTTGAGGAGGCAGAGCTGTGTTTGGGGCCCCAAATGAGAATTCTTCAAAGTCGTAGCCATCTGTCATTTGCCTAATCACCGAGCGCCTAAGTTTTAAAACTCAGCCGATCAAAGAGAGCATCCAGATGGAACGGACAGAGCCAGCCTGCACTTTAAGCACCGGAGTAGGAAGAAGCATTGCCCTGATTCAGCAACAGGCTCAGCGCGTGGGGAGCCTCCATTCGTACCCAGATTGCACTTGTAAAGAAGCATATATTTCCCATCCCCCACGAATTACTTACCAACCAGCCAGCCACCCCCACAGGAGAGGGGAAGAAGACAGAAAATAAAATTATTCAAATACAATGAGAGCCAGGGAGGATCCCACAGACCCACGCACTCCATCATTTCTCCAGGAAGGTTCTGAGTCGCACCGGTGCTGGGAAATGTTAATAGGTTCTCCTTGGTAAAGAGGGTCCCCTGGTCAAATAAATTTGGGAAATACTGCGCACTTTATCACCCTCCTGGAGATTCACTGCGCATATTAGCATTGTAAAGGCCACGAACAATCCAGAGATAGAGAAACCCATTTAAAATGATTAAATGCCACGGAGTCATGTTTTTGAGGGGCGGGGCTCGGAAGACCTGTAGTTTGGCAAATATTCATTAGTCCCACCCCTTCCACCCTACAGATTCAGAAAGCAGGTGATGTTAAGTGCCCTGCCTGAAGATACGGTGCTGACGAGGGCCAAGGCGGTGACTAAAGCCTCCTTTCCTGACTGCCAGCTCAGTATCCTTTCTCCGGTCCACCCCCGGGCTGCAGTGGTTCCCATAATTTGCTGCCCGCTGGAACCACCTGGGGCTCTGTAAAAACACACTGGTGCCTGCCTCCCACTGCCAGGCTCTCTGGCTCCCTTGGTATGTGGTGAAGCCCGGACAATGGGGCTTTGAAGGCGCCCCGGTGGGCTCTCCAGTGAATGTGACTCAGCCACAATGCTCTGTGTGGCAGAGCAGAGCTGTGCTCCCTGGGGGTTCCAATGGCTGGTCTTTCAGAAGCAGATCACCAGGCCTATCTTCTGGGGTGCTTCCGGGTGGACTCTCAGCTTTCTGTGAGCAGCCAAGTGCATTAACTGTTCCACCAGGCACCCCCGCCTTTCACCCCCAGGTGTTTCCAACATGCAGCCAAGTTTGAGAACTACTGGACTAAAGCTGGCTAGGATTTGATTTTGCCTTCTGCCTTCACAGATTTACAAACAATCCTGCCCAGGCAATTAACTGCTCCTGCCCCAATGCACACCGAGCAAAGTGACCCTCAGGAGCCGCCAGCCCAGGGCTGGGGCTGGTGGCTTGTAGCACACATGCCCATGGGTAGAGGGGTGGTCCTCTGGGCAGGCAGTTCACTGACCACCTACTATGTGGTAGGCACAGTGCTAAGGTGCACCCCTCCTGGCACATGCTCATTGCTGAGTCCTCGGGGAGAGAGGTGGTCTCCCCGCCCCCCCCCCCCCCAACTCCCCGTAGTAGCAGAACCCTGGACACCTGCTTGCTGGTGACTTCCTGGGTTCCAGCTCTGCTGCTAAGGTTGCTTCTTGTCAGAAACTATGGACAAGAATGACCCTCAGTGTCACTTTCTCTAGGGAGATGGGCTGAGTGGGTACCACTCCCTAAGCACCAGAATTCATTTTTTAAAAGCCTGGGTTCCTTTCCTGGTGATACCTAGTAAAAGACAGCCCTGCCATGATGAGTCATTGTCTAGCAGACAGCAAAAAAGAGAGAGAGATAAGAAAAGGAAGCACTGGTCAGTGGGAAAGCGGCTTCTCCAGCCTATACGGCTGAAAGCGCTGGCCCGGGATGATCGAGGGGCCTGGGGTGCAGGGAGAGAAGCGGGGCTTTGGGAAGCCAGGCTGCCCCCGCTTTCCCCTGGGGGCTGTCATCGCTTCAGCCCCGCAGGCTGAGGGAGCCAAGCAAAGTGGAGTGAAAGGTCCCCATCTGGGAATTCTCAGGCGGAAAAGACCAAAGGGGAAATGTTGAAGGAATGTGAAACTGAACGTTAAAGGATTTAGTTGGAAGTGTAACATGGCCACAGATGATTAGAGCAATTTAGTTCATTTCTTGAGACATAAAAGATGGAAAGAGAAAATGAGCAGTAGAATAGAATACATGGCAGGGCAGTGTGTGCTTTCAAAATCCAAGCATGCTTCTCAAAAGATTGGCTAGAAAGGCTTGGGCTGTTTGACAGCCTCCACCAGCTGCAGCTTTGGGGGACTGACCACCAGCCGAACAGGAGGGTGGGAAGGAGGGAGGCAAGCCCCTGGGGGCAGGGCCAGGCCGAGTGTCTCGTCTTGTGTCTGGCTTGCCACTGGGTACAAGTGCTCTGCTGGGTCCAGCCAGGGACTATAGGGGACATACAGTCCAGACCTTAGAAGAGCTGTGTGAGCAGCCCTGCTGGTAGCTAAGAGTCCAGCAGGCTGGTATCAGAGCCTGAGCACCACAACTTACTTGCTGTGTGATCTTAAGCACATAACTTAACCTCTCTGAGCCTCACCTCATTGGTCTAAATCGTGCCCATCTCATTGGTGTGCCAAAGAGGTGAATGGAATAGTAGGTGTAAAGCACTTGGCCCAGTGCCTGCCTCCAGAGTGCATAGAGTAAATTATTGCTATTAAATTATCATCATCGTCATCATTATTATCACTGTTGATATTTGTCAACTTTAGAAAATAATTTGTGAATGTTTAAATGAGAAAGTTCATGGGATATGGGAAGCATTTAAACTAGCCATACACAACAAGGCTCCTCTTAGAAACCAAAGCCAAAGCCCACCGTCATTGAATTGATTCCGACTCATCGGGATCATCTAGCACAGCACAGAACTCCCCTGTAGATTTCAAGGCAGTACATCTGTACAGGAGCTGAAAGCCTCACCTTTCTCTTTAGGAGTGATTGGTGGCTCCAAACTGCTAACTTGGAGGTTAGCAGCCCAGTATGTAACCTGCCACTCACTGCCATGCTCCCATCTGCTTGACACCAACTCCTAGTGACTCTGTAGGACAGGGTATAACTCACAAGGCCAGCCCTGTGAGTTTCTGAGACTATTACTCTTTGTGGGGGTAGAAATCCCCGTCTTTCTTCTGAGGAGAGGCTGGTGGTTTCAAACTGCTGACCTTGTGAACCGCAGACCAACACTTAGCCACTATGCCAGGGCCCCAATATGTAACCTATACATTGCTATTATTAGCAAGAAAAGATCTGTGGGTCAATTATAGGCTATGAACTTATCAAGACTCACAGTGCAAAAATGAATCCAGTGCAGACCTCTGTCCTCCTAGACTTATTCCTTGGGTCCCTGTTGGGCAGATCTTTTAAAGTTATTTTGAGATCACCCTTCTTAAAAATGCATGACATTAAAATTCAAACAGAGGCAGAAAATGGAAACACAGGGGGAAAACATCAGAAAACCAGGCAAGCCCCACATCTTTTCAATCTCAGTGGGTGAGCACTAATTTAGGCAGAAAGTCCCACAGAATAACTACAGCCCCATACAGTGTGTGCTTGGAGTGATGGTGGGGATGGGGGGTGGGGTAGGCAGAGGGTCTTAGACACACAGACCCCACAGGGGAGGAACACAGTCAGGGAAGAAAGCCCAGCACTTCCATGGCCCTCTAAGTTTGGGGAGGCATTAGAAATGAGGTACCCTACATTGCAAGGAGAAAGTGAATTTGAGCAAAACAATGTTGCGTTAGGAATTTCTCCAAAACTCGGGTAAACAGGTTTAGTTACATTTGAAATATTTTATTTGCCTATTCAACTATTATTAGGAGTATGCCTACTGTGATGAGTTTTGATCTGTAAAAAGCCGCCCCGATGCTAAAGTGACTTGTGTGTGTATGTGTGTGCTTTGCTTTTCCTCTTAGAGACCTCCTGAGAATAGGGGTGACCTTGGCTGGCCATCAGAAGAAGATCCTGAACAGCATTCATTCTATGAGGGTCCAGATGAGCCAGTCACCAACAGCGATGGCGTGAGGACTCTCATCTTCTGGGGGAAGGAGAGGAAGGACAAGGACCAACAGTCAAGGGCAAACTGGAGCTTGACCACTGTGGAATGTTCTAGAAAGGTTGTCTTCTTAGCTGAGAAATGTGTTTCTATCAATGAAGGATGAACCAAACCTTTTGCCAAGGGGCAACCCTCGTTTCTCAGTGACAGAAGCACCTGTGAGATGCCGTGGGAAACCAAATATATAATAATAAAAAATGTAAAGAGGCGATTTTCTAAGGAAATGAAGACAAAATAATATGCATCGGGGGAACAAGAGTAAACGTGGCTTCCACCCTTCGTGGGCTGGGGTCATCCATCAACAGGAAGAAAGGGAAGGAGGTCGAGGGAAGAAGCAGAAGCAGTTTCCCATTTAATTCCTCACCAATGACATCCTTTTCTTTTCTCTTTTTGGACTCCGCCCCCAGGGGCCCCTTTCCTTCTCCCACATCCGTGTCCCTTTGCTCATGACCCATGTAGGGAAGTTCCTTCAAATAAACCCCAGCTCCCGAGTCTCCGGATGTTGTTCTGTCAGTTGCCAAAGGACTTTGCTGACCACTGCATGGGGGATCCAACCAATTCAATTAATGTCTTCATATTGAAGAAGAGATGTACCTTCAATTGAAAACCTTGTTTTTCTTTTGTTTGCATTTTCTGCAAAAAGGAAAAAAAAAAAAGAAACCACAAATTGGAGAAGAAAACCCTGTTTCCGTGTGCCAGCGCGCACATATGTATGTCTGTGTGATTCAATGACTGTACTTGTTCGTAAGAGATGCAAACAAGACAGAACTGGGAAGTCTTTGTCCCTGGGAAACCTCAGGGGGCAGGGGTGGGTGGTTGGTCTGGCTTTCTAGGTAGCCTGATTGGCCAGTTGGCTCGATGAGGAGAGAGGGAGGGAAGGCAGAAGAAGAAAATGAAAGGTTGCCCGGGGGGTAGGGGTAAGGGCAGGGGGCGGGGAAGGGGGGTACTTTCAAGGGTTTGCACATTCAAATAGGAAACAGGTGAGTGGTTTGAATTGGGATGCAGTGTGGGCCATTCTAGAACAATGCGGACTGATGAATTACTTTTGGTAAGACCTGAAGCGAAGGAGAAGGAAGTATTTCTGGAGAATGTCCTTCCACATCCCTGGGATCTGCAGTTCAAGAGGTGGCAAGGGAGGGTCCTTCCTGCCTTGCCCGTGGACTGGCTTAAGAAGCTGTGTGGCACCAGAGGGAGAGTTCAGCTGTGTCTGTGTTTCTCTTTACATTCCTTATTGTACCTCATCGTTCGAGTCACTTTTGTAAAGTCCACCTACCACTTAAATATTTTTGATTTCTCCTTTTACCGTACTCTCCTGGCTAATTTTATCTGTCTGATTAAAATGAGCAGAAGCATGTCTGGGTTTACATAGAATGGTGTCCGCCTGTGTGTTCTTGGACCCCAGTGGGTTGTCCGTAAGTTAGGTGGGGTCCTTAAAGCCATCCTCCTTCCCCTTTCAGTAGGGTGGAGGGAACCCATCCCCAACCCAAGGACTTCGGAGAAGCAGGCTCCTTTGGGTCTCCCTGAGGCAGCCCAAAGGAAAGATAGAATAAACAGGAGACTCTGAGGTCTGAAAGGTGAGGCTTAGCCAAAGCACTGGTGAATAAGCACCATCACGAGTCATACACACTGTCCCCACCTCCTCGTACACAGTGCAGGAGAGAGGTTCCCTCCAAGGGCACCGTCCCAGGAGAATACTTTAGACTGCTTGCTTGCGCTAAATCTGGAAATTCACAAAGGGAGCAAGCCAGTAAGAGGAGCGCGGTTTTCCACAGTGCTTATTTAACACCTATGGAAAGCGGGATGAGTCTGTGCCCCGAATCCTAGGCAGGTTTGGATCTGGAAGGCCCTTACCTTCTGAATAAAGAGCTAGGTGTTTCTCCACAGCAGGAAGCCCCTCCAAAGTGGCCTAGGGATCCAGCTCCTAGCCAAGGGAGCCCTGTCTCAAAGCACCACCTTGGTGTCTAAGCCCTGGGGGGGAGCGGGGGAAGGGGAGGAGATGGCAGGAATCCTCTCAGCAGAATTTCATATGGCTGCAAAGGGCCACTTGGCAGTTAGAAGAGAAACATTCCCACTTATTAATTGCTTGCCAATTCCACGCACAATTTACTAATTACCCCAAAGACCTCAATCCGAGAAGTGTCTTACAAGCCCGGGCAATTCAGCTAATCTGCTCTCAATTTTCCACAGGAATGAATTTTAATTTGTCACCTAGTTTCTCAGGCAGCATCCTTAATCCCAAACCCTGACTGGGACTCCTCCTCTGCCAGCCCCCCTCTGGCTGTGCAGAAACCAGGGCCAGGCTGAAGGTCATGCCATGCCCTTTGGTGAGGTTTCACCATGAGACCCCAGAAAGGAGAGCATAAAGCCCCTCGTGCCCACGGAGAAAGCATGAGGCTTAGCAGAGCTGAGCCCAGGGTGCCTGGAGGCACAGTTCTCAGAGGAGCGTGGCCAACCTCGCCACAAATGCCTCCTGCCTGCACCTGCCTCACACCTCACCAGGTGACCTGCTTTCCACGCCCATACCAGGAGGGTCCACACAGCACTTTCCTGAAGCATGCTGGGAGGTAAGATGTGTAGCTAAGTGTGGGAGCTCTCTGGAGCGCTGGGCCCATCGTGAACCTCTCAGCTGTGTAAGAGTCTTATTGGCTTCTGACCGCAGAGTCTCTCCCTTTCTGGAGCATGCTCTATAGCCGGCAGCTTTCTAGGTGCATGGTCTGTGTGCACGCTCCTCCTCGCCATAACCAAGTGAGACAGCAGTAGAGACATTTCCAAGGAGGGAACCAAGAGACCTTTCCCAGATCACACAGAGGTAGAGCCAGGATTTTGATGCAGTCATTTTTCCTCCTGAGCCGCACTTCACCACGGCACCAGTGAGTTCTCCCACGTGAGGGCAGGCCCCCCTTCTGAAGGGTTTGTTAAAACATCAATCTCTGGACACCACTTTCAAAATCTCTGGTAGTGGGGTCTGGGAATGGACTTCCCTTGTGAATTGCCGGGGGATGCTAAGGCTGCCCTGTGGCCACACGTGGCGAGCCACCTTTCTGAGGAAGCATGACAATAGATGTAAAGCCCAGGCTCTTCATTGGAACGTTCAGGATATTCAAAATGTGGGGAATGAACCCTCACTTCTTGTACAGGAAGAGATGGAAGAGGCCAGTACATGCAGCCTGGTGCCTCCCACACAGGAATCTGATTGCAGGCCCTTTCAGCCTCAGGGGATGCTACTCACACCTTTGAAAGAGCCTCGGAGGAGAACACTCACTAGCTCATTGCCTGAAATGCAACTAGCCACACTGCCTCATCATCTGATAGAGACTAAGATTTGAGTCTGATATGTTCTTAAAAGCACACGGTGTTAGTCCGGGTAGATCAGAGAAACAAATTCATAGACACTCGTGTGTATAAGAAGGAGCTTTATATAAAAGAGTACTTGTCTATTGAGGAACACCCAGCCCAGTCCAGATCAAGTCCAATATTAGCCTATATGTCCAATACTAGTCTACAAATTCCTCCTTAGACTCACCCAGCCATGCAATAATGCCAAATGCGGAGGTCACAGGCCAGTGGGTGGGAAGTCTTGTGCATCCAGTGACAGTGGAAGCATCTCAGTGCTGGCATCTCAGTGCTGCACATGGCTCCTCCAGCTCCAGGGCTCTAGAGTTGCTCCATGTGTTCTCCTCCACAGGAATGTCTCACGGGGAGTGAGCAAGTGTCCTGCCTCCAGTGAGCAAGATGATCTCATTAGCGGCTCCAAATGAGGTCATCAAGCTGTGACCTGATTGACAGGCTAAACTCCACCGCATCACTCTTAAGTCTCAAATTGACGACAGATGATGTAACTACCACACACACTTTGCACAGTAACCAATGGCACGAGGCCTTGAGGTCTAGACTCAAGAGGGTCACCCTGCAGCCAACGCCGTGCAGACCAGGGCTTGATTCAAAGAGAGGGGCCACTCTGTTGGCACATCTGCAGGACAGGTGGGTGGGAATGCCCAGGAGATCGGCAGAAGTGCAGTCGCATTGAGGAGCAACAGGTGGTAGATGCTTAGTTACAGTCCCTGGCTCAGGACTATAATAGAGATGAAAGGCTACATAGGATAGTCCTGGAGATTGTGGCTGGCCTTCTTGTGCCCTCCTCCAAGTTTCCTCTAACCTCCAGGAAAGGAATGAGAGGGAGAGATCAGCTAAATCTACTCCTGAGCTCATGAAAGCTCAGACTCATAGATGTCAAATAGGTCCATACGTGAGGGAGCTTCCAAAGGCTTGTGGCAATGTCCCATTATCTTTCAATATAATTTTTCCAAGAGCATTTTGAAGCGCCCTCATAGTTCTAAAAAGTACATGACTACCACATCTTCCCCAACTCAATCCCAATGTTACAGCCAGCGTGACTGGGCTGATTGTCTAGGTCAACTGGGATGATTGACATCAATGTGGGCTAGAAGTTATACCTGACTACTTATTTGTGAAGAAAATAGTGAGGACTGAGGACTAGAATTCTAGGGTTATTGGATCTAGGAAAGGGTACAACAGGGGGAGGGGTGATTGAGACATAGTACAAATGGGTGAGACCCTAGAAAGAATCTAGAAATGCAAGATTCTGCCATCCATGTTTTGTGAAAGCTTTTATGAGCTAACCTGGTAATCTCACTGTCTTTTCAGAAATGGTAAAGGGACAGCACTAACTGGCCGAGGGTGTGATTAGGTCCCCGGGAAGTGGCGCGATTAGGAAGACACAGCTGTGGTGGGGTATCAGCAAGTACCCTGGGGACAATCGGGCACCATCCAGCATTCCAAGCCTCCAAGAACATTCGAAAGACACCCTGTACAAAAAGAGGCCCTACCTGTTAAGATCCATGTCAAGCTCTGCATTCATTGAGACAACTTGCAGTTCATATAGAAGTTATAGGGACCGTTTCAAAATTAGCCATTGGTTTGATCTTGCCTAAAATTAAGAATGGGCTGGGCAAGAAGATGGTTGTAGAGGATAATCGCCGAGGTCACAGAGGATTCTGGACATCATTGGACATTCACTCAAGTTGAGTGAGATAAAACGGTGACTGTGATTACCACCAAAACATTTCTGGAGATCAACATTTTCCAAATTAGCACAAGTGTACAGTTATGGAAACAAATCCTTAGTCACTCAGACTGGGGTCAAGCTGTGTTGGACACGGTGTGTTCTACAGTCCCCACTTAACAGCGAGTGGTATGGATAGAGCCCTGGGCAGAGGTGGGTGGACCTCCATCAGTTACCTAGGAGAAAAGGGATGTCTAATGGGCGCACCCTTCTTGAGCTGACCTTGTTACCACAGACTTCTTAAAGGATGCTACTGGGAGTCAGGAGCTGAGTACCCAATAAACAAAGTAAGCATAGGCTTGTTTGTGCTTACTTACTGATCTGTTATGTACAGTGTTGTGAAAAACTTGTGAAAGTGGTAGCAAGTAAGCACACATAAGCCCATGTTTACTTGCTTACTGGGTACCCCTTCTCTGCCAGGGATTGTAAATTTGAAAAGAAGCTTTTATTCGGTAGGAATGTGCTGTGGGGTCAGGAGAGAGACAGGTGCCAGCCAAAGCTAGAAAAAGAATCTTGAGGTGGTGAAAAAAATTTGAAATTGTTCACAACAGATTAGTAAATAAGCACAAGTAAGGCCATGCTTACCCTGCTTATTGGGTAATCTGACACTGCTGGGACCCATGACTTGGCCCACAACATTCCCAGCCAGAACTTTCTCTGATCCATGCGTTGAAGTGGATACAGGCACATTGTATTCATGGGGTCATCCTTGGCTGCACCTGTACCCAGACCTGACACCCCCTAACACTAGGGAAGCACTGGGTCAGTACACGGCAATTTAAATCCGATGGAACGGAGAAAGTTTCACACGTCA